TATATATATATATATATATATATCTGTGTGTGTGTGTGTGTGCATTTCAGGGTGCATTTGGGGCGGCGGTGTGGTGCCGCACCACAGTTTTTTCTATCATGAGAAATGCACCCTCAAAGTTTCAAACCATGGTGGAAAATATTTAATCAAAATAAACTAAAATACCTCACAAACTATTTAATGAATTAAAATCAGAGACTCATCAAATAATTTTTATTTTGGTCCACATTATTCTCCTCTGTTCACCAAACACGGGGGTATTTGCATGAGGGTATTTTAATTTTATATTTATAATTTTTCCAAGCAAAGTTATGATTTTTTTTAATTTTTGGCATTTAATTAAATCATTAAATGTCTATTTTGGGGGTTTTGGTGGGATACTTATTTGTTTGATCTGGGGAAGCTTAAGGGTGAATCAATTTAGAGGTTGGTGGAGGTTCGTGGTATGAACGAGAAGTGTCCTGTTTTGTGTGATTTTTGGGTGGAGAAATACTTTTTCTGTTTGACAAAGTTAGGGTTTACCTGTTTTTTAAAACATATGCACCTAAAAACTGTGTTTTGACACCAGATCAGGCTACTTACGGTGATTGCTTGAAAGTTGTAGTATGACTTTTTTTTAAAGAAAAAAAACTTTATAATAGCTACAACAACCTTTTGAATAACTTTTGTTAGAGCAACTTCACAATTACTTCTTCAAACAGTTGCAGCTACCCTAAACAAATCTTAAGTTATCAACTTAACAATTTATTTGTGGCATGAGCTTTTTAATGCGTAATAAACACTAATTGTGAATTGTGGAAAATAAGACATAAAAATATTTAATTGTCAAATACATAAAAAAATCTAATTGAATTAAATTTTAATCGAACTAAATATTTTTCTGAATTTAACTATTTTTAATTTTATAAATTCAGACTTACAGGATTTAAATCCTATTTAAATTAAATACTGGATGCAGCCCCAAACTCCCGAAGTTCTAAAACTGAAAACCTAAAGAGGGAGAAAGGCGAGTCGTCGTCGTCACCATGATCAGCATTTTAGCGCAGGTCATTACTAATTAACCGATTTATATGTATTACCTTGCCTTTTTCTGTTGTTCCATTTGAAGTTTCAATTTCTGTTTGAACTCGATGCAGAGAGATAATCCTTTTATTGTCTCATTTCTATTAATTTGTTTTCTTGTGACGAAGGTTCATGTACTTTGTAGGTAAAAGAAGACAATAAACCTTTCTCAGCACAGTCTCATGAAAAACAGTGTTTATGATGCAGGAACGCATTCTCGGTGCGGCTCTGGGCTCTGCATGTGTGGGAACAATCGTCTTTGAGCAAAGGAGAGGGATACATGGTTCCATTGCTGATGATAAATCTGATCAAATTAAAAAATTCGAGGTAAAAATTGATGTGAGTTTTATCTTTATTTGATTTATTTGGCAGTAATTTATTACATGCCTCCATCATCTGCCTCTGCTAAAGATTTAGATTTCTAACTTTAGGGGGTGTTTGGTAGCATAGTTTTAATAGGATTTAGGCATGGATTTAAGGTAAATCCAGCCAAAAGCCAAACACCGAAAAGAATGAAAATTAATTCCAATACTCTGTTAAATAAAACATTCTCTTGGTTCCGTCTTTGTTTCTGGCGTCCGGCATCTTTCATGACGTAAATTTGTATTTACTAAATCCGATTGCGGGGCTTATTTAAGGGATTTACTCCGTAGTCGTTGCTCGTAAGCTCTATCTCCATCGCACAGGGTTTGATAAATCTAGATTTATTGAATTTGATAAATCCTATTTAACGTAAAACCAGGTTGCAGCCAAACACTGCCTCAAATAAATCAGTGTGTACCTCCACCTTAATATATCTGATGAAGAGAAGGAAAAATGTTAAACATTGGCAAACGTCAACTGTAAAAGGACATATAAACTGTGTTTGTTCAGTACGGTTGTTATATTTAATGAACAAGTGATGATAAATTTAGTTCTAACAACTATTTTTTTAAACATGACTCTTGATGCAAAGAAGAAAGTGCAACTTGAGGTTGAGCATTGAAGGAATCTTGGAATTTCTTAAAGCATTGACTAAGAATCAACTAAGACAATCTGAAGAGCTCAGACAACAGACCATTGATGACTTGCTTTGAAGAACGTTTGATTTGGCAAGGGATAGGGCATACAATTCAAGAACCACAACGGTATAAACAAACAAATATCTTTTCATATGCATTTTTGGTTGGTTTTCATTAGGTGATGAACCAAATTCCTAGAAGAAAGCCATGGAAATTACAACAAGAAATAAATGGCAACATGTTAAAAATGGAAAGATGATATTCATTATGAAGAATAACACATGGGAGTTGGCAAACAAGCCATGAAGCCAAGCAATAAGAAGCTTGCCTACCTCAAAATGGTTGTATAAAAAGGATAAAATTTATGGAGTGGTAGTCCGAGGTTCAATGCTAAGTTGGTAACAAGAGGGATTACACTAGTGTAGGCTTTGCTGAAAAATTTTCTCCAATTGTATGACATACATTTATATGTGTTATTGCCTTTTTTGTACAGTTTAACATGGATCCTAAGCATATATATACTTGGTCAACTTTCTTAAATGGAGAATTGAAGAAGACTATCTATGATCCCTATAAGAAGTTCATGTTCAAAGATGATCTCTTACTCAATTTTATTCTAGACTCAAATTCTAACTTTTGATCAAATATTGATTTTGGTTCAGGAACGTGCTTTGTTTTAGGTGCAGATTCATATTCAACATTTGGTTTTTTTTTCATATTGAAATTATAAATTATTTTCTAAGCTAAGATATTCACGAATTAATATACATGAATTTTAGTTTATTTAATAAAATTAGATTCAATCATATATGATTCTTATTTTGATGTATTTTCAATAATCTTTAAAAGTGATGTTATTGAGTTTTATAGGACTAAACATAGTTGCAAGTCTTAATATGAAATTGGTTGTAATATTAATGTCTAAAGTTAGGTTATGTATCAAGCCTCTTGCAATTTAATTATAAACTGCAACTTAATTCCTTAATTTTTTATTTAATGTTTTTAGTGAAACATATAATAACATAATAATCTAATGACAAATAGTACTAATTATAAGACTTATAAACCTTATATAATACTCAGACATATCATAATCATTTTATTTACAATATCTAAATTGATTCTAGAGCTGATATTTTTTATTCACTGAATGACAAATATTACTTTTTAAGTTTAAGTTTCATGTTAACTATGGTAGATTTATGAACAATACTTTGCCATAGTGACTAAGTATGTTTTTACTACTGTTTTAGCGACTTCAACTCTTTGCAAATAAAACATATTGTAGACGGTCTAAACCTCTTCCAAATCATCAATTCAATTTGAGAAGTTTAAATGTTATCTTTTTTTGAATGAAGAAATATATGCTTAAACTTCAAGATAGTATCATTGTACTTGTCTAGAATTATAATATATATGATTTTCTTTAAATTGTATTATGCTGTTAGTTTTGCTCGATCCATGTGTTATGTACTACTTATATAGTCTGCATGATATAATTTTTAGCTTGGATACCAATTTGATGTGATACCTGGTAAAGTCTATAGGGTTTCCTACGCAACTAAATGATGAAATGGAGAATGATTACACAAAATATAATCTGGGATTTATAGTTCCAAAGAAAACATATTAAAATAAGAATTCATCTTTAAATTAAAAAAACTCTAAAAAAGTCACATTGAATAATAATGTAACGGATGCTTAAACCAATGATGATTAATGAGAATTTGTAAATAAAAAATTATTTGATTGGAGTTCATACTAGAACTCAAAAGCCAAATTACATCAGATTAAAAGTTAGAATATATATAAAAACCAAACACATTATTTCTTGGAAGAAAATGGAAAAAGGAAAAACTTTACACATGAAAGACATTTAGATCTCATGCCAGTACTAACGAATGACTTTCCCTAGAATAATTATGGTCTCTCTTTCATTGAATTCAATGAATTCAACTTCCAACATGCACCCAAAGGTTTGAGTTTGACCAACACAATGTGTTTTACATTTATGTGGTGTCTTACATCAAGTTGTGTATGCCAGAATATGGTTCCTTATATTCTATAATTTTATGGCTATTTATAGGTTTTACAACATGAATATGTTGATAGCCGTAGGAATATTAATGCTCACATATGTTCATGAAAATGTATAATCATGAAAATTCAGATAGTTATATGAAATGAAATATTTAGCTTCTTTATCTCTCATATCCCCATATTAAGACTTTTCATAGAGAAACATTTTCAGTTTAAATCTTAAAGAAAAAGCTACATCATCCTTTTGTACTCCATGGCTGGCCTTAATTTGCTGTAAATGTCCATTTTATCTATAATAAACTGACCAAGCAAGAGTTCATGATTTCTATGCAAGCTTGGTAAATTCCCATTTATTGCAATGATAATTTGTTTTCATATACATACTTTTATTTTCCTTTTTTTTTTTCATATTTTCTTAAAATAACATTCATTAATGAAAGATAAAATATTAAAAATGAATATAACCAAAGCAATGTTCCATCATTTATTTAAAATTAGAGCATATATTTCTTCAGAGTCGTTGATGTTGCATCAATTCTTTTGGACTCAAAATTACTGTAAAGGCTTAAAACCAATTACTTATCCACCAGATCAAGAACTAACCTCTTTGGCTCTTCAGTGGTCGACCATATATGTTCAGAAGTAGGTTGATCTTTTTAGTCTAATAAGGACTTTGTGCTAAGCAAAGGCATTTGTAAGGACTTCCTTTGATATGACATCACATTAAAAAAGATTGGAGGAGAGGGTTCTTGAACTTGAGTATCATGCTCAGCTTGAACGATGCTATTATGAGGCTTGAGGCAAAGCTCAGCTTGAACGATGCTATTATGAGGCTTGAGGCTACAAAGATCTTTCGTAGGGAACTAAACTCTTATAATGAAAACTTTATTACTATGCATATTTGATGGTTAATCTAGATAATAAGCATTTGATTCAAGTTTCTTACGAATTTTGATAGGTTCATAAGCCCTTGCTGATATTTATAAATTTATGTGAGAAAAGCTTTCATGGCGAAACAAATAATTATAAAATCACCTTCATTCATTGTATAGAAGTTCTTTTAAAGCTAATATGTTAAATATTTTTCACATTGCTTTGTTTTTTTCTTACTGTCCAACCCCTTGATGAAGGTTAGCCAAAAAAAAATTTGCAAAAGTGAATGCATTATTTGAGAATGTATATGATAGACTCATACAAAGGGATCAGTCACACAAAAAAATTCATCAAATGCAATATGGAGACTATATGAAAGTGGAGGGATGAAGAGGGATGAAGTTGGCAAAAAGTAGACTTGATGATATATAGGAGGAAATTAGAGATGCGCAAGAGTTGTATCAACAATGAGTGAATGTAATGTCCAGAATTTCAAGATGCTTTAATATCTAACTTGAATAAAACTGAACTTAAAATAACTTGCTGATGTTATGTCCTTGTCGATGCATGTCTTGATCATGTACAACTCTAATTTTGAAAGAAAAATAACATCAAAGATGACTTTTAGCATGTTGAATGAGAATTAAATTAGTACTAATCATAATAGCATTGGAATATACTTTGCAAAATAAGATTTTTTTCTCTCCAAGTTTATTACAATCTTTTATAGAGGAAGGGATGAATTTCAACATCATATATTTACCATTGTCCCTTCTCACGGGATAAAACGAGGGGCTTTCTTTTTACCAAGTTTCTCTTTGATCCCCATCTTGATCCAACATGTTCAAGTCAATCACTAGCTAACTTTGCGATTTGATTCTTCAAATCACGTAGCTTCGTACTCCATTTTCTTTTTGCCTTTTCTATTGTGATGGTTTTGCTATCACTAAAGTTAATATCAACCAAATGTCAAAAATCACAAGGGGGCGACTTTGGAAAGTTTTATTTTTGGTTCTCTAATAGTTCCATAATGGCTTAAGTTCATGCAATATTAACTTGATAACATCACTATAGTTGTATTACTTCATTCCCTAAATCATGAATTTATTTGATATTTGATATGTAGTTTAATTTTCCCTAAAACTTAAAGATAATATGATCCCCTCTAGGAATATAAGTAGATGGATATGTTTCATATAATTGAACCACTTGAGGAAGTTAATAGATACTAGAGCCTTCAAGTAAGGTTTTAAACTATTGGAATTTATCCTCTTAGGTTTTAGAGAATAGGACCTTTCTAAACTGAGGATTCTTTTTGTCATCGAGCTTTTAAAATTGCCTCCTACATGTTACTTTTGTTAGAGGCTTTATCCCGCACTTTCTTAGTACTTTATGTTCACTATTCCTGATGGGAAATTAATAAGCTTTTTCCAGAAACTAGCTTCATTGGTTTCATAGTTATTGACATATATGTTGATTAGCTCTTTATTGTATTTTTAATAGTTTTTCTTTGTTCATTTCTTTCCTTTAAGGTAAAAGAATGGTCTAGGTTAGTTCTTTGTTAGTGACCAGACTTTATGCGGGGGTTATAGATTAGCAATGGCTATTTTATTTGACATGTGATTTAGATGATTAAAATGAATAAGCTATTCAAATTAATAGGGAGGCACTGTGGATAGGATATTGCAAGAAAGTTATAGATCCATTTTGTTTTTCATGTTTCTAATATTTAGCCTTTGTGGAGAGGATACATCGTGAAAGATTATTTGGGACTGCTAAAAAATGAGATATCTCAGGAAAGTTAGTATGTCAGAGGGATGACTACTATAATCAATAGAGCTATGTGATGATCTACTTGCATGTCATTAATTTTTTTATTTATTTATGCTATTAACTAAGATTGAGCTCTCAAGTTGTGCTTGAGCTTATAATGAACTTGATTGAGTCGAGCTTAGGCTTGAATTTAAGCAACAGTTCAATCCATCGGATTATGCTTGACTTAAAATTGTCTTGGCTCAATTACATCTCTAGTGTTTATTGGTAATTTAATCCTTTGAGATATTATGAATTATTCTTCTAATACATATTTTTAAAGTTTATTTGTTCAACATTTTTCTCAATGGAGGCCCTATAAGTTTTATGTTCACTCAAACTATCTTTTTTTTTTTTAAATTGACTAATATTTCCCTCCCAATATATGGCTTTAAGAGGATGGAATCCTACAGAAAAGTTGTAGAAATACATAGTACCTCTAAATAGATATTCATTAGTTACAATAAAGAATTTCCCATGGAAAAATGTTTGATTTGAATGCATGAGAAAATAAATAAAAACTAGAGTAAGAATTATAATTTTTATATAGTTTTTCAAATCTAGAAATAATATTTTGAGGAAAAAAAATTGATTAAAAATACTATAGACAATGTATCGCATGTTTGAATGATTACAAAAGAATAACCTTGCAAGAATTCTACCCATATTGTAGCCCGTTGATGAGATTTATTTGAGAATTTTTATATTATAATGATCGATGTTTAAAATTTATTATAAATATTCTTTCTTGTGCCAATATGATTAAATGAGTGTACCTATTTTTTTTGCCTTTGTTGAAATACTTTTATCCTATTTCGTTCAGTTTATTACTAAAAAAATGCACTACTGGATGATTTTTTTTTTTTTTTGAGTTAGAGATCCACTTATTCCAACTTAAGATGCATCATGGATGGCAACTTTTAGGAAGCAAGCAATTTTGATATTAACAAATTTTTAAACTATAATTTGTCTGAAAGTGTTTTGTACTCGAAACATTCTAAAAATAATTTTTTTTTAGAATATTAACTATAGGAGCAATGAGTACTATTAGAATTCAAACATTTTATTAACATTTTATGGCGAGTGATGACTCTGGGAGCTTTTAACCTCAGTGAAATAAATGGGTCGACTAGTTAATAGTAGTTTAGTTTTGGGGCCTAAATATTGGTGGAAAAGAGAACAAAATATTGGAACAGAAATTTATGATTCTTAAACAATATTTTTAAAAAATTTTATAATATTTATCTTCTCAAATTGTTAAAGATCAATCAAAATTGATGCAAATATTGATGTTGATCGAAGTTAAATACATATATCTAATTAAAGTATGCAACAATAAATCTATCACTAAAAGGCTTCAGGATAGTATTCATCAATATTAGAAATTGCTAGGCGCATTGGAAAGGACAAAAGGCATCACTAACTTCAAGGATATTGAAAGCAATCTTTCACTCATCGATTAGTCTAAACCTTATTTAGTGGTAATCATTTTTAAGATTTATCATAGTAAAATGTATCAAGAAACACAATCTACATATGATCTAGTCTAGTAATACAACACTTGTAATTTATAATTTTGTTACACATTCTACAAGCCATTTTTTTTCTTTTGGAGTCAGTCTAGCAAGGACAAAACATGGACTTAGACTTACTCTTAGGAATATTTTCCAAACAATTCATCTATTTGCTTTTTAAGCTCATTAAGTTCTATAGGATTTATTATTTTGTGTTGAAAATTAGGCAATGGATCTTGGTGTAAAATTTATTGCATCTTGGATTTGCCTGAAGGAAGGCAGTTCATTAGGAGCTATGATAGCAATTCAGCTAAGAGATTGGATTCAATGCGGGAAAATGCAACCTTTAAACTCGGGGAAGCTTTCTTTAGTTGAAGGAAAGGATTTGAAATGAAGAAGTATCGAAAATTCTTCCGATTTTTAAAATTAGACTATATAGAATGCTTTTAGTAGAAGAGCTATTGAGTAGCAACTAAAGATCATTTTTTTGAAAAATAGTTTTTGTTGAATGCTAATGTTTATGTTGGAGTGTTTGGTTGTAAACGATTTAATTATCTTGTTATTGAATTTAAACTATTGCTGTCCCTGCTATAATTTGACATTCATGTCATATAACCATATGATCTGCCCAGAATTACGTGTGTAATTTCTGTGAAATGAGAAGTGTGGTTTGATCAACTAACTTGAGAGGGCTCTGGATGAAATTCAGGTTTGAGATTTTCCTTGAAGTATGAGAGGAAATTCATTTATGACACTACTCATATCATTGGCCAACCTATATTTTTTCGTCATTTATCCAAACAAGCATAGCAAATATTTTCGTTTTTCAATCCATAGCCTAAATTATTTCTCATTCAAGAATAATATAACACCTAATTGACTTTCATCATTCAGATTCATGTCACTATCAAATGGCAAATAGTCATTATACAACTCTTCAATTTCATCTTCTTAATATATTGAAGATTTTGCTTCTTTTGATATGCTATGTAATATTTGTTTTATTATTTTGTGGATTTAAAAATGTTTTCTAAGAGATTATGAAAAAAGAATGTTTAGCAAACGGATTATTAGATTTGTTAATTTAAAAGAGATTTAGATTTTGTTTAATTTATATGTTACACTGTATAAAACATTTTGAATGTAGAACAGAACTTACTAAGATTCACTCATCTTCAAAATTTTGGTAGTTTTGTGGCTACTAGCTTACACTTTTGAGGTTAAAATTAAGACAACTCATGGGATTGCAAGAAATATTTTTTGATTTGCAAAAACACTTACAAGAGAACTCAATTTTAGAATAATAGAAGTTATGCAATAAAACTAAATAAATAATGCACATGAATTTTTTAGTCGATTTCCACTAATGCAAGCAGCACCCTTTTTAAGGCCTAGTGCTGGTTGAAACTTTTAATCACTTGATTTTCACTTAGTCTGCAACCTTTTCTATGCTTCTAATTGATGAATGATGCTACATCTTTGATGTAGGACAACTAACACAAAAAATACAAGTAGCACAAGTAGAATAGTAACTTGATAATTAACACAAAAAGGGAAGAGATGGATAAACCAGTCACTCTGTTAAGTTGAGAAGAGTAGCGTCTCTTGTACATTCAAAAATGGTATCTTATATCCTAGAATTTCATGGCTATTTGTAGGTTTAACAACATGAAAAATGCAAACATTCATAAAAAATATTAAAGGTCGCATGAGTACATAAGAAATCATAAGCATTAAAGTTCACATAATTGTATGAAAAAGCATTTATTCTTTTTATATTTATATTCCCACATTGATTTTTTTTTTTTGGGAGACTATTTCTTGTCCACTTCAAATCTTTATGGAGAGAAATCATCAATTTCTCACTTTCATGACCGGCTTTAGCTTTGATTCAATTGTATATTTTACCGAAGAGGTTGTTACTGGGTGAAGAGTGCATGATTCTTATGCAAGCTGGCTAAAATTCTATGCAAATTGATCATAATTTGTCTTCACATATAGATTATTTTCAATTTTTTCGCGTGCCTATTATAATAACATAAATCAATAAAGTAAAAGAGAAATTATTGAATTGAACATAATTAAACTGAGATTCCATTAAGTGCATGCAATGTTTCATTAATATTTTTGGTCATTTTTATAGTGGTAAGCTTGTGTGCCACATGGTTTGGTGATATTGCATCACACGAGCAATTTGATATTATGATCATGGGTTATCAAATGGTAGAATTCTGAATGATAAATCAAGAAATGATCAGATTTGAAGAGTAAATGGAGTGTAATTCATTCAAGGGAAGATAATTGAAAATAGACTATAGATGATTTGGGCATATACATTAAAGTGTAAAATGTCCAAATTAGATGAATAGGCATAATATAAATTTATAAAAAGAAGATTTACATACATACCACTTTACATATCTAACTCCAAAACTTAAAATTCATAAAAAGATTTATTTCACTTTTTAGAAGTTTAAATCGTGGCATTTTAGATTGTGATATGAAAGAACATCACATGTCGCACTGGATCAGCACATAGTTTATCTGCATAATATATTCTTAAAAGTCCTTATTGAACAACTTGCAGCAGAAGCAAAACCCATCGGGGAAGAACATCACACCTGATCTTGCTATTTTTTGGAACAAAGCTATTGATGGAACACTCGGGCAATTGGTTGCGTATCTCAGTTTGCGTAGGTGGTAGCAGATTTGTGCTCTGCCCCAGTTACTCCCTTTTTGCCTTGTAAGAAATAATTTATTGCTGCAAATTATTTATCAAACATATATATATTTTTTTATATTTATGAAATTACATGGAGGACGCTCGTGTATTTGGATACATACCCTTGGATTTTATACAACCCGATTTCTTAAAGTAAATCAATTAATAAATATTATGTAGAATTTGTATTTCTGTAGGTTCTGTGGTTGCTGGTGGTTCGTTCTTTGTAGTATAATTTTTATTTTATTTGTCATTTTTGAACGAAGAAATATTCGTGCAGACAGGGTATGTGCGGATTTGATGTTGTTGCGGTGTTCACTATAATACCATCACAATACCTCCACAATATCACGAACATGCACGTAATATTTCCTCCTATTTCAGTGGAAAATGCCGCCTCGGGCACATTGTTTTTCTTCTTACATCTGTGATTAGAGCTAGGGGTGTGCATTATTAGAACAAACTGAATTGAAATTGAACTGAATAAAAAAAAATTGGTTTTTCCGATTAGATTTCAATAATGTGTTTTAATTTTGGGTTTTTAAGACCTTATTTTTTTTATTTTTGGTTCATTCGATTTTAATTTTTTATTTAATTAAATAAATTCAAAAATAAAAAATTTAAAATTCAACATAGGATTCATGAAATTATATTAATATATATATATATATATATATAATTTTCTTATAGTGATTTATAATAAACTCTAATTAATAATTAGATTTCAGTTTGCTTATAAATTATAATCAACTTTGTTAAATTGAATTAAATTTTGATTCCAATTTTTTTTTTAAGAATTTTGATTTGTTCGGTTTTTGGATATCGAACTACTTTGAAAACCAATCCATCCAGCATACGTAATGTTCACTGGAGCTATCATTAAAATTTAAGTATAGAGTTTCTTTTAAAAAGTGGGTCTATTTAAGTTTTTTTCTTAGCCAATAAAACCGCTTAGAACACCTAAAAAAAATGAAAAGTTTTTCACTTGTTCTTGTTGAACTAAAGCACGAATCACGGGGCCGCTGGAATAAAGCGTGAAGTCAGGAAGGGGGAATTCCCAAAAATCAAAACTAGAATAAAGTGATTACTTGGACCTCAATCCTACAAATGGAAGTGGCAAACAAGAAGACATTTTTTATTTAGAAGATAATTCTGTAACAAGCATATATATATAGTATAAGTCCACGAACATATATATATAT